AGCAGAAGCGAAGACCTCAGACCGCTCACAGACCATCTGAAACACCAGCCAGAAGATAAACAAGTCAGACAACATTAGGGATATGGAAGACTACATTCAAAAGGATCTACTACCTGTGATATTACTGGTGAACAAGGGGGGAAAGAAAAAAAAAAGAGGTGGGGTGGGAGATAACTGATGTCTGAATCAAGACATACTCATACGTCATGTTTTGCATGAATGGAGTGACAGTACGAACAGTACCACAGTGAATTGGTTCAGTTAATTTCCCATATGGAAATGAATTACACTGCTGGGCTTGACTGTGTGGGAATTAGGACATCTTTATAAGGGAGCTGGACTGCTTTAATTATACTAGTGCAATTAACACAGGTTAGCCTACAGATCAAGACAGGAAAAAAAAAAAAAGCATGGGAACCATCAATATGTGTCCAAAACAAATGAAATTAAGAGAAATGATATGAGAATGTGGGTAATATTAACGCAAAAGCTTTTTAACATGTAGAAGGTTTTTCTGAAGTTCATTACAGAAATTACCAATGGAAAGCAGTTTTTGCAAAACATTTTCAAAGGTAACCATAAGGGAAAAAAAATAAGTAGGGCTATTACTCTTGCAAATAAGTTTTCCAAGCAAAGAGTGTAATTACATTTTGTTATTGACACTGATTATTATAAAGTCCTCTCTAACAACCTAGAAATCTGAATTAACCTCGAGAAGGCACAGAAACAAAAAACAAATTCATCAGGCTGATACAGAGGATGACCAAAGTAGTTCAAGGGCTTGTCCTGCAAAGGACTCACACTGCAACATTAGTTTGCATCAAGACTTTTTAAAATTCACTGGATAACACAAACAAAGCACCTTAAATGGGTCACGCAATATAGACATAGCACCCTGCACGCAGGCTACGTCAATCTTCTTAAGCATGTTCTAATGTCGTAAATCCTAGTTTGAAAAAAGCCACTACTAGTTCCCTTTGCATGGACATTCCTAGCTGAAGACATTCCATACATATCCAACCTTCATTCCCTCCAACTGCTTGAGCATACATAAGCTATTATAGTTAGGTCTTGTTTACGCGTCAGTGCAAAACCATTTATAAATGTCAGTATAATTATATCAGTAAAACTTGCCCACCTCCGGTCGCCTTGGATACAGCTAAAATCCTGAAAAGTCGAGAAAATACTTGACTAGACATTTCACCAGAAGCGTTTTCAAATAACCACTTACAACAATACATCTGTTGACACCTCCTGGAAGGCAATTTCTAACCAGGCGGGTGATGAACTGAGCTGCAGATGGGCTATTGTGCCGGCTGACCCTGGAAGGCAAAGCGGCCACAGTGGCGTAATTCAGGTAGAGAGGACAGCTGTCCGTGGGGTTTGGATTCAGAGTGCTTAAAGCCGACTGCCATATCTGGGGAGAAAAGAAGAATATAAGACAAATAACTGTATCAGTCTTTTCTTCCAATCTCATCCCCACTATAGTTAGGCACTCTTTAACTGCAGGATTTGAGGTGTTGGAAACAAAGGAATTATGCAGGCGGTTTTAAATGCAATAACCTCTAGAGTGAAAAGATACAGGAAATACAACAAACCTGTTTATTAACCAGAAAATACAAATGTACTTTCCCTTACAAGCATCTCTAAACCATAGGAGTTAAAATTTAAAACCGCACCACTTGGCGCAAAGGCTGCTTCAGAGCCCTTTTAAGTTGAGACTAGTGATAAATAAAAGGACTGATTTGCTAGTCTTGACTTATTTTCTCACACAGCAATTAAATTAAAAACAAAGAAACAAAAAAGAAGGCTAAACATTGTCATAAGAGGCTCGGGAGTCCGGCAAAAATACCTGCCGACCATCCAGCGACCTAAAAGCCGCGATGCGAAGCATTTATCGTTTTAGCACGAGCCATCAACACCATTTCAACACCCCGGACGGCGCAGCCCAGCGCAGGGGCTGGGGGCCGGGGAGGGGAAGCGCTGCCGTCGCCTTCACCCGGGCAAGGAGCGAGGCTCTGCCTCCCGCCCGCCATCTGGCCCCTGAGACCGCGTCCTGCAGCAGTTTCGTGAGTCGCGGCCGCCCCCGTGTCACCCCGGGGCAGGGCAGAGCCCCCTGCACCCGCCGAGGGGGGCACACGGGGCAAGG